AATTTTGACACTTATTTTTTGAAATTTGACATTTTTTATGTCTATTTAATGATACTGATGATCTTGTATATGTTTTTTTTTACAATTATTTAGTAAAGGAACAAAAATTTTGCCAATAAAATCCACAAATAACATTGAATTTAGGATACAGCTTCCTCTTTTAATAGCCTATAGCAAAAAACTTGGAAAATTATTTTGCCAACAGAAATAAATAGATTCAAAGTGCAAAATTTAAACCCTCATAACTTCGAAATTTTTATAAATAAAATTTTTTTAAAATTTTTTCCATATTCCTGGTATCTTACCTTATATGGCATTTTTCTCTGGGGCGCGAGTTCTGGCGCATATAAAGTAAGATACCAGGAGCATAGAAATTTTTTTTTTTATCTATCAACATTTAGAAGTTATGAGAGTTTAAATTTTGCACTTTGACTCTATTTATTTCTGTGAGAAAAATAATTTTTCAAGTTTATGTGCTACAGGCTATTAGAAGAAGAAACAAGGAAGCTGTATCCTAAATTGTAACTCCGTTTAATTTTATTTGTGGCTTTTATTGGCTAAATTTTTGTACTTTTTCTAAATAATTAAAAAAAAACACGTACAACATCATCATTACATAGACATAAAAAAATGTCAAATGTCAAAAAAAAATGTAAAAATTTTTTGACAAAATTTTTTTAACATTTTTTCCATGCTCCTGCTATCTTATCTTACTTGAAATGTTTTTCTGAGGCGCGAGTTCTGACGCACTTTGTATAGACAACAGAAAAAAAAGTCTAAAAACGTTTAATTTTTTCCAAACGGTTTGTCAGGAAAATACGAAATTTAAGATACAGAAGTTAAGGATATGGCGATTTTTATAGTAATCTGTTAATAATTTGTATGTTATAATTTAGGAATATGATTTTTTTTCCATCGCAGTTGTAATATACTATTGTAATTGGAACTTTACAAGGTTGTTGTTGTGACTTGAAATTGAGCCTTGCAATTTTTTTCAACTTAGAATTAACATTTTATTCTTTTGACAGACGTTAAAAATAGATAAGAATAGGCCATGAACTGAAAAGTTATTCACAACTTCATTTATTTGGCATACAATAGACTAATACAATGGATTTTTTCAACTCTGTTGTTATAAACAGATGACATTGTTCCTTCCGGTTGCATATATCGAAATTATCAAACTTTTCACATACAAAAAAATTCTTCAATAAAAAAGAATTTTTACAAGATCTCATCATTGATTTTTTGCATTTCTAATGTACATAAACATAAGCGTTGTTCTTATGTCACTAATACATAAACCTATGTATCTACAGTTTTGCCTTCATTTTTATTCATTATTTGTTATTAAATTTAATTTAATATTTTTGCTATAAATTTCAAGTTAAAATTTATAATTACTACGAAATGCATAATAATTAATAAGGAAGACACCCCTTTTTTCAAATGCCACAACTGAACCCTTTTCTTTTTGTTTTTGCTCTTTTATATTTATTTGTATCTTTTTCACTTCCTACATAATCTGTCACAAGTTACAAAGCAAATTATCCAATTAGTGTTTGCCTCTTAAGGCTCTTCATCAACTACTAGTTTGACAGATAATTAACTATTCATTAATCATCTTAAGATCGCATCCAAATAAATTTTTAATTTGTTTTTGCTCCCACAATTTATTGTTCTAGAAATTATTAAAGTCTGTTTTGTAATTTATATGTACTTTGCACCCATTTCGAAGCTGGAGCTTTTAAAGCATTGAAGCATAAAAAGCTGTTTACATGAAACCGCATTTGATTTGATCACAATTTGAATGCTCAGACCCATTTATTTAATTGGTACGTTTTAAAGACTTCTACACTACGTTCTGGCATCGAGCCAACGTTGTGGACAGTTTAGCTTGACTTTTATAAGATTTGTTTCAAATTTGTGCACCCAACATTACGTTTTATAGAATCAGAATCTAGTGACTGGAACGGCCATTCATTATTTTTTCTTTTGGTTTATGGTCCGATTTTTTATCCGAATAATAAATCCGAACAGATTTTTTAGGAAAGGTTAAATTAGGGGCAAAAAGTGTTTTCCCTGCTAAATTATTTACGTTTCAATGAATTCGTGTAAATAGAAACAGTTTTTACTTCATTTTCTTTGCTTGGCATTGCTTGAAAATTGTTTGGATATATCTCCGCTTGAAAGATCCTGGAAAATATTTGCTTAATCCACCACAACAAATGCAGTGCAAGTGCAGGAAAATACAGGAAATGCTTTTCCGGTAGAAAATGTCTGATTGTTGACATTTTTATTCGAAACGAAAAAGTCTTGTATGAAATTAGGTTCATGGTACGAGTAGGTATACAAATATCACCAAACAAACACCAATCAGGCTCAAGACTATTAAAATATTTAACTAATAAGGTTTTGAATTACTGACAGTATCGATTATTATTATTAACAATATGTAAAGTCTGTTTTTTATTTAAATGGGAATCACCAAGTCAAAATTGTGGTGAAAAAATTGGTAGCAGCTTATCTCCATAGCCACAAATTTTGTTGCTTTTTGTTTTTGTCCCTAGAAAATTTTGTTGAAAAATTATGGTAATGTTTTCATGTTGAAATGTTAAAAAATATTGACTTTTATAAATCTTGTGTGCCTGTTATAAATAAATACAGTGCTATCAAAAAGTCTATCTATCAAGCAAGCGTAGAAATTTAAAATGTATGTCTGTAGAAGATAAAATGACACAATGACAAATGAGAAATGTCAAAATAATTTTTATGTAAATTATGACAGGAAATCGTGGTGAACGATTTTTATGAATAAATAAATCTCATTTTAGGATTTTTTTTGAGACGTTTCATAGAATAATTAGCTTACTGTTTTAATTTTTATAAAATAATTTTTTGACATCTAGATAACATACGAACTGCCATGCAACATACGTCCTCAACTAGGACGCCTACTTGATAGAAAGACTTTTTGATCGCACTGTATATGAGAACAAACAACATTATCGGAGGTCTAAATGCTAATAATATCGATAGAAATAAACTGCAAGTAAGTACAATGTTACAAGTACAAGGCAAAAATGAGCTTCTTGCTACAAAAACTTTCAAAATTGTTACTTTTTTAACAAGTTCCTCAAAAACGACGAAACCAAACTAATTTAATTCCGTTCCTTCTCATTCATGTTTGTTTTGTTTTCTTGTCGATTTCTTGCTAAATTTTCACGGTGGTTTGTTACTGACTTCTGCTTGCACACTTTTTGTCTCAAAATTTCCAAAAACCGTTGGCGGTAACGAGTTTGTCCTTTCGTCTCTAAATTTTCTAGACGATTTTTTTGTTGACGTTTAGTGACATTGTTTTCAAATTAAATCAAAAACCGAAACTGCCAACTTCTTTTATTAAAATTACCACGAATGAATTTACTAGTGGTGCTAACGTTAAGACTGTTTGACATTTCCATTTAAAGTAAGGTGGCCAACCGTACTGTTTTATCCAGGACAGTACTCTTTTTTGTGGATGCTGTCCTGGTCAAAAAATTGTAATAAAAAACCAGTAAAAGTACTGTTTTTTAATGTTCTGACAAGCAACTTCAAAAGCAAATAGAAGACCGAATAAATACGGCATTTTTGCCATTTGGTGTTAAAAATATGGTTGAGTCGATAAATGGTGAAATCAACAAGTTTTTAAAAACATTGTAATCGATTTTTATTCAACGTGGAGCGATTATCTTTGTGAATGGAGTTGACATTTTAAAAGTGTAGAATATTTCAAATGGATTTTGATTGAAAACTGATGTAAGCTCTTCTGCGATTTATATTTCTCAAAACTTTCCCCAAATAAATATTCTTGAAACGGAACTGTTTGACGAATTTTGTTTTTTGGCGAGATATGTAGCTAACAGAAAAAAAAATCGAAGAATGGAAGAACAAATCTGTTAGCCTTTCAGATAGATGGGTGGAGATTTTCAAACATTTTAAAGAAAACGATTTTACATATGAGTGTTGTATGTGTCTTCCGGGAACATACAATTTTTTGAATGTGTTTTTTCGCAAATGAACAATTTGCGACTTAGTTACTAGTTACAACGTTGCGTTCGATGCTTATGGTGAAAACCAACCTACATTATTATACATAAGTAATTTTTGGGGACCTTAAAAAAATGAAGATTCATTTTTATTTTTAATAAATTTTAATAAATGAACAAATAGGTAGGTGTTTTATATGTATTTTTTTTAATTTATAGTTTTATAATGAATTTTTCTTTTGTTGATGTTTTTTTTTATGTAAGTAATAGTTTTTGTTTGTTTAAAATAAATATTTTCCTGGTTTTTGGTTTTTTGTAGTTGGTCACCTTAATTTAAAGAAAAAACAGACTTTATATTGTCAATATTTTTATAAAATATTAAAATGCATATGCATACAATATAAAAAAATACACTTATTATTAATATTTATCATACATTTTTTATTACATATTTGCACACGGAAGGCAACTAACAAATAATAGATAAAACACCCTTTTCAAGTTTTTCTAAAAAAATATCCCAAGGCAAATATTAGCATATAATAGACAGAAACGGAACCATATAATGTTTTCTTAGCTTTTGTTTTATTCATTCATTTATTATTGTTTAGGTTTCCGTAAATTAATTTTTTATTCGTGTGTTGAAACGGGTAGATGTCCAAACTGTCGCAAATGATAAAGAAATATAGAATAAGACTGTGATATCCTCAGGAAGACCACCTTGTGGTCGAAAAGTGTAAAAGAAACGTATATGCCAAAATCTTTCTAATTTTTTTTAATCCCAAATTTTTTTTAAAAAATATACGATGATAACTTCATTATTATCATTACAGAAACAATAGCTTTTCGAAAAAAAAACAACAACGGTATCTGCATAAAAACAGTGATTTGGGCAAATTACCCTCGCCCCTAATATCGTCATCTCCTCACGAAATGAGTAATAAACGGTCAAAAATGAATTAAAAGATCACTCACCTCGGCAACAAAAACAACGATTAAAGAATCATTAGCCTCGGCGCTGTTCATCCCATCAATCAAATTCTGCAACGTGTCCATCAGATAGCTCTGCTTTTCCCTTCTCACTGTAGGCACTCCCATGACTACTGACACCCCATTCCTGCCTTTGGACATCAAATAGGCCAATCTTAAACTCGACGGATCGTCAAGCAGATGCGGAAGGAAGTGATAGGAAGAAGGCAACCGCAGCATAATGGGCGGATTCAGCCCTGTTGCAGCATGCATTCCCGACATGTTCTTGATTAACTGCTTGATTTCAGGCCGAAGTTCAGGCGTTGGGAAGCTGAAAGTGGTCGTGTTGTCGTTGGGAATACCGATCTGGTCGATGTGCTGAGTCAGCTGCTGGAGATCCTCCTGTCTGGCTCTATACATCGAGTCCAGGTATTGGAGCTTCACTTGCAGCTCGGCCAGACGCTGGATCAACATTTGCTCCGATGTGATGTCTGCAATAAAATAGACAACTTAGTGCTATTCTTCATGAGACTAAACGATGCCATTGGCAACTTATAAATTTCCAGACGTTTCCAGAATTTATGGACCGTTAAATGAATGATGATGCTCGCTGGCTAATAAATATCGGTTATCGAACGCGGTTTAGCCTTCACACGGATCGATACATTTACAAATAAAAATTCTATTAGGTGACATATGAATGGATTTATGAGAAATGTGGTAGACTTTTAGTGGCCTCGGTCTACCGCAAAAACAATTCCATTTCAATATTTTCAAGAAATGTTAGTCAGGAACAGTTATAGAAGGTTAATGTATCAATGACACATCATGTATCTATTTTCATTTTAAACAAACTGTTTGTGGGTATTTAATATTCAAAACTAAATATTTTGCCGTTTTCATAACCTGACATGGGAATAATTTTGAATCACATGCCAATGACCTTATTAATTTCAAATGGAAGACTGAGAATTCGTTATTATTAAAGCGAAAAATACGCGTAATTTCCTGTAGATAAATTTTTAATTTCTCAGTAAGTGGTTTGGGAATACCGACTTTATTTTTATACCAGTATGGATTAAAACATTGCACGACCTACAGACGTTCAAAATCGGTTTTTATGACAAATAAGAGAAGTAGTTGAAAACAATAAATATAAAAATAAACAAGAAACAAGTTAAGTTCTTTATGTAGCAAGAGTCTATAATTAAAATCTATTAATAGAATGTCTGGGTAAAAATACGTTTCCTTTTTTAACAGCTTAGATACTTAATTAGATAATAGAGAGTATTATTCTATAAGAGCCACTATACTGGATGTGGAAAAGTGTGAATCAAAGCATATTTTCTGCTTAAATTAACCATTACTCTCAATGGTAACATCAAAAAATGTTTTACAAACAAAACTTTTGCACAATTTTACCAGAACTTGTCATATCCTTAAATTACATAATTTGTCTCCTCATTCAAGAACGTTGTCACCCTGGCTTCTTAGTCTTCATTGACTTGAACCTTTAAATTTTTCAGGTATTGTTTCAGTTCCAAGATCAAACACAAAGTGGCAAATTAAAATTTGATCTGTACAAACATTACATTTAGTCCTCGATTTCAGAATTTGAAATTTTGCAACATTTGAAACGAGACACGTTTTTGAACATCCAACGAATAATGCAAAATTTGGCACCAAATATTATTTTTATCAACTTCGTTAAAATTAAGCCAAAGGAATAGGGAAAGTGGTTAAAAAATCGACAAGCTCTAAAAAAAAAAGAATTAATTAATTAATATACAGACTTTCTTCTATGTAGAAGTCTAAAAGATGTTAAATTGCAATCTACTTTTATAGAATATAGAACATAAACTGTCTTTTTTTTAATTCAAATGACTTGATAAATCACGGTAATTTTTCATACAAATCTTTATATGGCATTAAGAAAAAAAAACATTCAAAATTATCTCAAAAAGTTATAGAAATGACATTTAATGTTTATGGAAACGATTGCATTCCAACTTTTCTATTTGTAGCCCCAACTCAAACTTCAACTAATGTTTATAACACTAATATAATAATAGCTTTTTTCTCTAACTTTTAAAATCTTTTAAATCGACTTGAAGTTTGATTCACCTTTTTTAAATAACAATTTTTTTAGAATCGATCATGAGATTTGGGTCATCTAGTTTGATTACAGTTTTTGTAACAGCTATTTTGTTTGTTGTTGTTTTTGTTTGTTTGCTTGTAACACTTTGACTGTATAAAAACTGTAATCTAACAACATTTTCGTAACTGATACCTCAGTTATTTATAAACAAAAATATTTTATCCACAATCACTCTATAAAGAGACTTTATTCCACACTTTAGATGGGTATAAAGTACGACTTTATTCCACTGTTAGTAAACAGCGCACCGCGTAACAGCTTACTACGTTTAACCGAAAGCACATTTGGCGTGACGTTTAAATGTCAGTTTAATTTTTAATTAAGTTTGGAATAATTTGGGCCTGTGATTGTGGACAAAACGTTATATTGCAGTCGTGTGTTAGTCGCGTTTTATTCACTTAAGAAAATTAACATTCTTGCGTGGATAAAACGCTACTTAACACACTCTTACAATAAATAACTATTATTTTGTGGTTTTCATTTTAAAAATAAAGACATTATCAATTAAAATATTACTTGTCTAATTATACTTAAAATGACTAAAAACAAATACTAAGAGTTTGTGTTTTCGAGTCCTGATAGTAACTGGCGACAACACAATCTCTTTTGATTAATCTTTTTGTCGATTTAAATATTTTAAAATATCTAAAATATGTATCAATCTATGTAAAAAAAAGTTACAAAATATTTAACAGTGCTGTAAAAATATTCTCGTAGTCTTAGGTTGATCTCTAGAATAAGAGCAATAATTAGCAAAAATAAGCGAAATAGAACTTAATGAATAGTAACTTTATCTTGGTATGAAACCCTTTGACTAAATCAAAAATAATAATTTCTTTGTATTCATTGCTTTAGAAAACCCAGTCTATTGCTTTAAACTTCTTCAGTTCTTCATATTGAGAAGACTTCTTAACTTTATCGTTTTTAATTATAAGGAAAGCAAAAAAACAAGAATTCAAAACTGTCAAGCTTGGAAATAATTTCATAAATGTAGCTAAAAAAAATAACCGTGCCAACTGCCAATTCCAATGATTCCGCCGCCTGATCGATGCCACAGCCAGTCCTGTCACATTCACTCCATATTCGAAGGATTTTTTTTTTGATTATGTGATACCAGTGTCATTCGTTTCTCAACTTTTATTCCTGTATTAATAAAATAGCATGGGCTTCTATATAGAGCAGAAAATCCCATCCAACTTTTCAAAAACCCTACCAGGATTATTCTAGTCAGTTATCCAACAAATTTAAATCGGCCTCGAATTTGCGTCGTACCAAATTGAAGTGTCACAATCGTACAACAACTAATTAAATTAACGATAATTTAAATGTATTGTGTGCGGTGTGACAACGTGTCAATAACAAAGTAATTCGTATAACTTATATAACACGAATTACGTAAATGGTAGGTGTATAAGTGCGGAAAACGGCAAATTATTGTGCGGGTAATTACACATATGGCTCTTTGGAGAGGTAAAATCTTAATGCAAGAATTGCATGACGAAGACACTTTAATGTCAAGACGTTCCCTCTTTTACGTTTATCACGAATGTCACTTTCTCGTTAGGGAAAGCTTTATGGAGTGCAACAAGTACAAAACTTAAGGATGCAAGTTTCGCTATTAAAGGCGAAATAAAATTTAAGTTTATTGACACTAAATTGAATAAAATGAAAAATGTTGTATTCATACTCAACTATTTTCATTTAATATTGTTTAGACCTAAAGCTTGAGGCTTTCTCTTGTCATTTGCAGCATGTATTAAAACGTACAAAGCAATTTTCCGGCTTCAATCTAACTATTGTGTTGGTATAATCTCCTAATTGATGAAAACAGTAAGTCTTTGTTGCAGTAACTGTAAAATTAAGTAAGAGTGATCTGAAAATTCCTTCACTTGTTTTGAACACCGGGAGTCAAAGAGGAGGAAAATTTTGTAGACGAAATTTCATCAATAGATATTGGTAAAGTTAAGTACATTTTCCGCTCGGTACGTGAAGATTCGAAAGAAATTGAATTGGCTCGGAGCCATTTAGCTTATTTGCTGACTTAACAATTGGATTGTTGGTTGGAAATTCTAAACAACACTGAAACTTTCATTGCCAAACACTAGACTATAATTGATATTTTCTACTTCATATGACTGAAAGTTCTGAAACATTTTATTACCGGACAAGAATGTTCCATTACGAACAATGAGGGATGTCTTCTAGCAAGCTTTTAGTACCTGCAGACACTTGGCTTGCACCATTGTTTCAACTAATTAAACGCCCTGTATCTCGTACACAATAGAAAAGTTAGCAACAATGAATCAACGTCTGTATAAATACAGAAAACTGCAACGAAGAATATAATATTACCAGGTTCAATCATCCTGATAATGTATTTCGATTCATTAATCATATACAGAAGAGACAGAAATAATAAAAAACAACCTTAAGTGTAATTCATTCATCATTCACGATTTTTTTGTTGGACGAATTTAGTTTAAATTTTTTAAATTAAGTTACTAAAAAATTAAAAATCAAACACTGTACAGTCATTTTAAAAGAGGAAACATGAAAACGTGAGAAATAATGTTTCAATGTGCTGCAGTTTCTGCAACTCTTAGATAATGATGGTTTAGAATAACCTAATTAATTAAATTAAATACTAAATTACAGGCTAAGTAATTATAAGTATCTAAGTCTGTAGGTATAAAATTAAAAAGAACCCAAGTTAGATTTTCTCAGAGATAAAATGCATGAGAAATTTTGTCATTAAATAGCTTGGTAGTGTCGAAAAAAAATTATTTGAAAAAACATGAAAAGAATTCAAAAACTGCTTTAAATTAAAAAATAAATCGAGACAAAAACTATTTAAACGTTGTTTTACTAATCATATACAGCAATTTCTCTTTTCATAAACTGAAAAGAGCTTCTTGTTCTAAATTAATATTTTCAAAATGAGTTGCATTATTTTTATTTTATTAGCCAATAATCAGGACTAAACAAATGGTCAGAATTTATAGACAGTGTTATTGCTTACGATAAAGCACTTTTTCGAAAAACTTTTTCAAGCTTCTTCTATATAGCAATACAGAAATTTGACCTCTACTGAAGATGATTAAATAATTAATAAATGAGTTTAATAAAGATTACTATTTTTTATTGTAGTTTGGACTGTAGTACCTATGAGTAAAAATTAAAAATTATGCAAGTCTGGCCTAAAATTTCTGACGCATTCTGTTAAACTAATTTTTTAAAATACGACTAACGATAATACAAATTGAAAACAATCATGTTTTCAGAGCCAAGGGTTGAACAAAAAATGTAACAAATCTGTTTTATTATTTATTTACT